CACTATATTGCCAAAAGTATTGGCACGCCTGCCTTTACACCCAGATGAACTTTAACGGCATCCCAGACAAACTTTACATATGGCACAATGTAGTCAGGTAGGTACTGTTCTAGCAACCACCAAACCCAGACACGTCCATTGGATTTCCAGACAAAGAAGCGTGATTCATCACTCCAGAAAGCACGTCTCCACTGCTCTAGAGTCCAGTGGCGTTTGCTTTACACCACTTCATCCAACGCTTTGCATTGCACTTGGTGATGTAAGGCTTGGATGCAGCTGCTCGGCCATGGAAACCCATTCCATGAAGATCTCTACGCACTGTTGTTGTGCTAATCTGAAGGCCACGTGAAGTTTGGAGGTCTTTATCTATTGATTATGGAAACAGTTGGCGACTTCTGCGCACTGTGCACTTGAGCATGCGCTGACCCTGCTCTGTCATTTTATGTGGCCTACCACTTCGTGGCTGTGTTGCTGTTGTTCCCAGTCACTTCCACTTTGTTACAATACCACTAACAGTTGACGTGGAATATTTAGTAGCAAGGAAATTTCAGGGATGAACTTATTGCACAGGTAGCAACCTATCACAGTACCACACTTGAATTCACTGAGCTCCTAAGAGTTGACCCAGTCTTTCACGCATATTTGTAGAAGCAGTCTGCATGCTTAGCTGCTCAATTTTATACATCTGTGGCCATGGAGGTGATTAGAACACCTGAATCCAAAGATTAGGAGGGTGACCCAATACTTTTGGCAATATAGTGTAGTTTTGAATATAAAGATCCTCCTACGCTGCCAGTAACACCTAAAGTGCAAGAGTTGCAGCAAGCACCCAACCGTGATCCAGTCAGTGTAAATAAATATAATTAAAACATGATTCTGCGCTACTCAAAAAATACCTAATCAAAAATCAGGCTAAATATAGAAATAAATACCCCACAGAGCACTAAATGCAATCATAAGTGAAAATAACACACAAATTGTTGCATTTATGTCACAAATGGTGACATAAATGCAACAATAAATAATAGACCAATAAATATTAATATAATAGTGAATTAATTCAGTGTTTAAGTAAACTGCAAAATAACTAATAGTGACCAATAATCATATGTGAAATAATATATAAAGTGCAAAGCCCCAATCAGTGCATAAATATTTGGTAAAGTGTGAATCAGCCAGTGACCACTGATAAAACTCTCCTCCACCAGCTAGCATGCACGCTCACCTCAAGCCATGACCCATAAAGGGTCGTACATGCTTCAGATGAATATGCTCAATGATATTCTTAGATGTTTCAAGGAAATCCTCTTATATGGATCAAACACCAGCTATGGCTATGATCATGTACGCTCCAAACAAAAGCACGCAGCAGTAATATCTTGGATGTCCCTTCCGTGATGCACTAAAGGAATCCTCTCACATGGGCCACACATGAAAGAACAATTCACAAGGGACTTCTGATAGTGTAATATTTTTCTCAAATGTATTAAAAATAAATGTGAGTGCTTACTCACATAAAAATCCTGGTCCACAGACCCATACAGGCATGTAGTACAGTACATAAATAGCAGAGATGGGTGTACCAAGATGGGTGTATCAAGATGCCGGCTGCCGTCCGAAACCAGAAACGATGTCACCAAGCTTCCATCCTACGCATCATGAATCACGTGACTTCCTCAGGGCTCCGGTAGGACAGAAGCGTGGTGACATAATTTCCGATTTCGGACAGCAGCCGCCATCTTTTTGATATGGGCCAACTCTGTGAATGTAATGGAGAGGCCCAGCCAGAGCCCAGACTTGAACCCGATTGAACATCTCTGGAGAGATCTGAAAATGGCTGTGCACCGACACTCCCCATCCAACTTGATGGAGCTTGAGAGGTACTGCAAAGAAGAATGGGAGAAATTGCCCAAAAATAGGTGTGCCAAGCTTGTAGCATCGTACTCAAAATGACTTGAACTGTAATTGGTGCTAAAGGTGCTTCAACAAAGTATTGAGCAAAGGCTGTAAATACTTATGTACATGTGTTTTTTTTTTCATTTTTATTTTTAATAAATTGCAAAAATTTCAAAATGAACTTGTTCGACGTTGTCATTATGGGGTATTGTTTTGTAGAATGTTGAGGAAAAAAATGAATTTAATCCATTTATACTTAAAAAGCCCTCCCAGGACCCCAATGACCCGAACAACCTCAGACCCATCTCCCAGCTACCACTTACATCTAAACTCCTCGAGCGCCTCGTCTACACCCGCCTATGCTCTCACCTCAACAACAACAACCTCCTCGATCCCCTACAGTCTGGCTTCCGCCCCCTACACTCCACCGAAACCGCCTTACTCAAACTCTCCAACGACCTTCTAACCGCCAAAGCTAATGGCCACTATTCAGTGCTCCTACTCCTTGACCTCTCTGCGGCCTTCGACACAGTTGACCACCCCCTCCTCCTCAAAATACTACACTCCCTCGGCCTCAGAGATTCTGCTCTCTCCTGGCTCTCATCCTACCTGTCACAACGCTCTTTCAGCGTTACCTATAATGCTACCACCTCCCCCTCACTCCCCCTCTCTGTTGGGGTCCCTCAAGGCTCTGTCCTTGGGCCCCTTCTCTTCTCCATCTACACCTCCTCCCTTGGCCAACTCATACACTCTCACGGCTTCAACTACCACCTCTATGCCGACGACACACAAATCTATCTCTCAACCCCCCACCTCACCCCCTCGGTCTCTGCCCAAATCACACACCTACTGAGCGACATATCAGATTGGATGTCGCTCCACTTCCTTAAACTGAATCTCTCCAAAACCGAGCTCCTTGTCTTCCCCCCAGCCCGAACCCCACCCCCCATTGACTTCTACATCACATCCAACAACGCCAATATCAAACCCGCTCTGCAGGCCAGAGTACTTGGTGTCATTCTGGACTCCAACCTATCCTTCCAGCCCCAAGTCCAATCTTTAACAAACTCGTGCAGACTCCACCTCCGCAACATCGCCAAAATCCGCACGTTCCTAACCCCAGAAACCACTAAGCAGCTCATCCACTCCCTCATCATATCACGACTCGACTACTGCAACTCCCTCCTCACTGGCCCTGCCTCGCCGCTGGCTATCCCCGCTTCAGTCGATCCTGAATACGGCTGCCAGACTCATTCACCTTTCCAACCGCTCCATTTCTGCCACCCCCCTCTGCCAATCCCTCCACTGGCTTCCGATTGCGCAACGGATCAAATTTAAAATCCTAACACTGACATACAAAGCTGTCCACCATACTGCCCCGAACTACATCACTGACCTAATATCCAAGTACCGCCCAGCACGCACACTCCGCTCCTCACAAGACCTCCTTCTCTCTAGTTCCCTGGTCTCCTCCTCCCATGCCCGCCTCCAGGACTTCTCCAGGGTGTCACCCATCCTCTGGAACTCCCTTCCCCAACCCATCAGATTATCACCTACTCTCCTCTCCTTTAGGCGCACCCTGAAAACCCATCTCTTCAGGTAAGCCTACCTCACCCCCTGCTAACTTGCTGACCTCCTCCACTCTTCCTACCACTCCATCCCCCACAGCTATCTCCTCCTGTACCACTATCCCATCCCTTCTAGATTGTAAGCTCAAAAGAGCAGGGCCCTCGATCCCCTCTTGTTTTGCATTGTATTGGTATTGTTCTGTCACATGTTCTGTCCCCCTTTGTAATGTACAGCGCTGAGTGAACTATTGGCGCTTTATAAATACTGTATAATAATAATAATAATAATTTTGGAATAAGGCTGTAACATAACAAAATGTGGCAAAAGTTAAACGCTGTGAATACTTTCTGGATGCACTGTATATAGAGTGTATGGGTGTATTCCCTGAAAAATGAATGGCTATAGGCAGCTGTATATGGGTTTATGGCAGTACTCGTTTACATATCATTTTTCTTATTTTATATATATTATTCATATTTTTTATATTTATTTTATATCCGGTTTTCTTACTTTTATTTTTACATTTTTTAATTAACTTTGCCCTTATTGCTGGGGGTCTGGATATGGTCAGGGGAGATCAGCTTAGAATATATCACTACAGCAATTATTTGCTGCTGTATGGAAAAGCTAGGGAGAGCTGCTATGGCTCTGCCTGACCAGCTGTAGTGAATGGCCATACAGTAATGTCACTCAAGTCATTGCCACACTTGCAATGGAATGGAAAGGAAGTGCTGTTTTTACTTTAAAGTGGTTCTAAAGCCTGAAGTGTTTTACCTTTGTGCATTCTATGCACGAAGGTGAAAAAAACTTCTGTATCCATCCCCCCCCCCTCGCAAAGCCCCTTCTTATACTTCTCTGAGCTGACCTCAATCCAGCGATGTGCATGAGAGCAGTGGCTCTCCCCGGTCTCTCTCTCCTCTTTGGCTAAGAGACAGCAGCTGGAGCCATTGGCTTTCACTGCTGTCAATCACAGCCAGTGGAGGTAGTGGGGGGTAGGGCCAAGTCCCACTGTCTGTGTCTATAGACGCAGACAACGAGGCGTGGGAGCGAACCCCCATGATGCCTTTAGGAAGCGGCTTACTATGGGGGTAGTTGCTGAAGAGGAGGAGCCCAGAGCATTGGTGAGGGATCTGAGAAGAGGAGGAACGGGGCTGCTCTGTGCAAAACTAGTGCACAGAGCTGGTAAGTATAATATAGCCACTATAAAATGAAGCTCGGGACTCAAGTAATAAATTATTATAAACAAAGTGGCAATCAACCGTCTCTTTCCTGAAAAGTCATTACTTTTCTCTTCTTCTTTAAAAATTATTTGAGTGTTGCTTGTTATTTAAATGCACATACAGCATAATCACCACATACCCATGAGTTAGAAAAGCAGGTACAGTGCAGAAGACATGTGGATAATTTATTTATTAGGAAGGAGGATGGGAAAGGTGCATTCCCATTTTTTTATGTTAATAAATTGTAATATGTACAACAAAATATACACTACCAATATTCTTTATATAACTGATTTTCAATATTTTTCTTTACAGGCAGCGTCCTGCCCTAGGAGAATGTCTGGCAGCTCTAGCTGGAGCTATTCCGGTAGCTTTTCTTGAGCCATCGCTAAACCACAACAATCCACTCTCCGTTTTCAATACCAAATCTCCTCGGGAGAGAGCTAGTATGTATCTTTCCCCTGTCATGCTGTGCACCTTTTATGATAATCTTTTATATCTTTTGAATTTAGGGCTTTGTTTAATTAATAGGTGAAAACACATTATACAGTATATTTAGTTCCAAACAAAAGAAGAAGTTATTTAGTAAGAATTTTTTTTACCAATTCTAGCTGCAGATCAGATCATTTCACTTTATTTTGTATTTTGCTGACTTAAATACATGGCAGAGTTTTAAACTCCTTATACAGTATATCTATGTTGCATAAGAATTGGTATCCTTGTTGTCATAGCAACAATACATAGGAGCATCACAAAATGCAATGTAATATTGCAATTTGCTAATACACAAAAGATATTTTTTTGATTACTGAAAATTATGCATTCAGTATTTTAATCCTCATTTCTCCTTAAACTACTAATAACTTCTAACTATTGAAGTGTGAAGTTCTATGAGGTGTTTATTGAAGATATCAGAAAATGGATCTTCACCAGCCCATAGGAAGTAGAGGCGCTCAACAGTAAAATAATGAACAAAGCTAAAGGATATTGAAACCCAAAAATACAATTTTAATATATATCAGCTTGACAGTCCTTAGATGTAGTGGCTGTGTTAGTTTTTGTTTTTCAGGCTTTAAACTCTTTCATCTAGTACAGAAAGCATCTGTTGATCTTGCCAGAAATGCAGCATCCTTCTCACATTCTGTGAGCTGAACAAAAAGGAAATAATATTATCCTAAACTATTTTTTAACTATTACTATATTATTATAAACTACTAATCCCATCATTCATTATGAACAAAGGAAGAAATGTTAGACGTCTAGCCTCGGTGGCTGCCATGGCTTTCATAGATACTCTGGAAGATTGAGTATACCTACACAGGGACAGTCAGTGTGTTGTTTACAGAATTAGCAGGTGAATATAAAGGTGAAAAAGCCTGAGAAAAGAAAAGTAATGCAGCTGCCTCATCTAAGAACTGGTAACTTGCAGTATATTAAAAAATTTGGGGGGTTTAGATGTGCACGAGCCTGTTGGAAAATGTTCACTCGATCAATGCTGCTGGCTATAACGGATGCTGCTAGAGTGTATTCTAACGGCAGGGAAGCCTCCTCGCTGATAGAGTACAATACCACTACTGCAGAGATTCACCCATCCATATACTGGATGTGGATGGGGGAATTGATTAATTTCCTTTTGTCAACCGGTTGATTAAACGAAAGAAAAATAATCATGTATAGCCTGCTTTAGTGCATCCTAGTGAATACATTGTATCATTTAATCTAGAGTAGATTTAAATTTAAAGTGAATACAGAATGTTTACTTAGCAAAATGAATATTGACCTAAGCAGGGTATACACAGACATTTGTTTTTGTTGAACCAGAGGGTTGAGCGAAAAAACTGACAGACCCCAGCATCCTCACAAGCAAAATTCATATATAAGCTCTATAGAAGCTCAAAGTGGGGGAATCACTGGTTATCACCAGAAGTACAAAGAAGGCAGGAAGCCAGGAAGTGAGAGAAAATCCCTCCAAAGTGAGGGAATCACTGGTTGTCACCAGGGTCACCAGAAGTAGTGTTTTCATTGGATGATTTCCCCTGGTGACAACCCACACATTGGGATGTTCTTTCACTTTTGGTGACAATAGTCACCAGGACAAATATAGAAGGTGAATATCCCTAACAGGGAGCAATACAAACCTTATGGGTGTTCTACTCCCTCTCCATTCTAACCAAAACTAAAAAAGGTTTGCCTTTAGTTATACCTTGATTTTGATTTGACTTTCAATTTGAATTTGTTCATAATACCTTCTGAAAAAAATGTTTTCACTGCATAAATTATAATTCTACTTTAAAGTGGAGTTCCAGTGGTTTTTGTGTTTATTAAAAGTCAACAGCTACAAAAAACTGTATCTGTTGACTTTTAATAAACACACACTTAACTGTTCCGGAGTCCAGTGATACTCTCACCCGCGCTGTCCCTTCTCCCCTTCTCTCCTCCACGTTGCCGGCATCTCTACCGTGGACACCAGGCTTCACAGCCTTGTGCCCCCTGCGCATGCACGAGTCACACTGCGCATTTTCATTGGTCCAGCATTTTTCTGTTACCTGTGAAAGTTCCCAGGAGACTGTGGGAGGGAGGAGGGGGACGAACTTCCGGCTCACTTCACCACAGCAAACTGAGCTGGAAGTGGGAGCGGATTCCTGTCAAAAACAGGTATCCGCTCCCCCCCAAAAGGTGCCAAATTTGGCAGTGGAGGGGGGGAGTGTAGCTTCCGCTTTTGAGTGTAACTCTGCTTGAAATCTTTTGTTTGCCACCAGCTTAGATAATTATTCATTTAATTCTATACCTTTTCATTTTGGTGGTATTGTGAAGTTTGGCTTCACAATTATGTAATGTAAGGGTGACACCACCACGTTGTTCCAAAAGGTTGATTTTTCACAGTTCCTGCGCTTCCAGACCTTTAAGACAACTTTTAAAATACAGCTTGATCACTTTAGAGAATTTGCAGATTAAAGGTTCTTGGTGAATCTGCATAGACTGTTATATCCATCATGCTATAAATAGGGTAAATACATGGGATGCAGGAAGCATCTTCCCATGAAAGAATAGATGGTAATGAATCTTTCTGGATTTAGTGATTGTGTATCTTCCTGGTAAATGATTCACTGGTGAATGTGCAGTAAATGCACAATGAATGTCCTTTCACCCCTTTATAAATCTGCCACTTGGTGATTTCTTTCCTGTGGTGCCTGCATCTTGGTCTTTACCATACTCTTTTTTTTTTTTTTATCCCTTTTAAAACTAGTTACCAAAGTATTTGTTGTAGGTGTAACAGAATTACATTTCCATAGAGACCGAATCAATGCCATGGAGTGAAAGAAGGTTTTGAAGTCTCAGTGACTTGCATAAAAAACCCTCATCATTCTTTTCACCTGTACTTAGAACTGTATGATTTTAGTATATTTATTGATCTTAATAGCAGAAATGGGGTTTCCTTTTCTTTCTTTTAAGTAGTATGTATCGCTCTAACATGCAATCTCTGATTCCAAGTCTGAATTCGAGTGGGTAGGAAGAATGATGCGTGTGCATTATCTCTTTTATAATTGAATTATCAACAGCTATTTTCAGTGTCATCAACTGGTGCATTGTCCTTGGAAAATGATCTGTGTAGCACAATTAAACCATTTATTTTAATGAAAATATCTGTTTTGCAGTTCTAGGCATGCCAGACACAGTGGAAGAGATGTGTCCAGAAATGCCACACCTAGAAGGTCTTATGAAAGAGATTAATGACTTGGCTGAATCTGGAGCTAGGTACACAGAGATGCCACATGTTATTGAGGTCATCCTTCCAATGCTATGCAACTATCTTTCTTATTGGTGGGAGAGAGGTACGGAGAATGTGCCAGAAAATGCTAGGCCATGCTGTACGCAGGTGACGTCCGAACACCTCAGTGTCATACTGGGAAACATCCTGAAAATCATAAACAACAATTTGGGAATAGATGAAGCATCTTGGATGAAGAGAATTGCAGGTAATCCTCCTAGTCATCATGTGTGGATTCACACCCCTAAATAATGTCCAGACTTTACAAACAGTTGGTTTAAAAATAAAGTATTAAAGGAATTATGTGTAAACTGGCTTGACATTTATCATGTCCTGACAGCCCTTTTGGTTTAAATAACAAATTTACATTGCTTTGACAAAAGGAAAAAGAATGAGCAATGTGCCTAATCGGTGCCTGGTCTTGCTTTATCCTTCTGCTGTTTCAATGTCAAACCAACACTTCATTGATCGAGACAAATAATATGAGTTTCTTCATATTTCCCTGTTGTACATGTGTGCGTTTTCTTTTACAAGCACTGTATGGTAATTAAAACTGAAACAGCCTGCATTCTGTTTTACCTCTTATGCATCTTTTTTTCTTTCAAACAAATGTTTCACTTTAGTATTCTGGTTGAGGAAGAACCTGTGACATGCAGAATATTTGATAAAGTTTGCCTTATGCAGGTGGATCATTTTTTGGGTTACATAGATAAAATGTGAAAGTAATATTTTCCCATGCTACTGACCATTGAGACACCATAAACATGAATTTCTTTGAAGACATTTTTCTTTGTTGTTGTGGAATGACTGGATACATAAGATATCATACTTGATTTTGAATCTTTTCTTCAGAGCATAGTGTTCCCTTGTTTCAAATTGTAGATTCTTGTGTTCAGTTTGTTATACAGTATGTTTAATGATGCATATAATTATTGATTGCTAAGAAATAATAAAGAATTAGTTATATTATGCCGTCCTGTAATTGTTCTGCATAGTACTTCAAAACCTTATTTGGTTCCAGTCTTCAGGTCATAGATTATTGTGCACCATACAAGTAGCACATTTTTCTGTACTGTGTCTGCTGAAAATAGTTAAACTTAGACCATATCTTCTTATAACATTTTTATAAAAGTTTATTGCTTACCCCATATTATTATTATTATTATAATACAGGGTTTATATAGCGCCGACAGTTTGCTCAGCGCTTTACATTATGGTGGGAGACAGTACACATGACAGTACAGTAGCAATACAATTCAATACAAGAGGGGTTCGAGGGCCCTGCTCCTTGGAGCTTACAATCTAGGAGGGAGGGGATAGTGGTACAGGAGGAAATAACTGTGGGGGATGGAGTGGTTGAAAGAGTAGAGGATTCCAGTATTAGCTGAGGGCGGGGTAGGCTTCCCTGAAGAGATAGGTTTTCAGAGTGCGCCTAAAGGTGAGCAGAGTAGGTGATAGTCTGATGGATTGGTTGGTGCATTTCACGCTACTCTCAGCGCTTAATCATGATCACTGCTGAGAGAGTGTGTGAACGCATCAACCTCCCTTCCCCAACTGTACCTTTTAAACTTATTTCATGCTGCTTTGTACAGATCATTTATTAGGCTCCGTTAACACCCATGCACTTTGCCTTTTGTCCGTTTTGCAGTGCTTTTCGCAGTTCATTTTCCGTTTTTCTACACACGTTTTTGATGTGTTTTTACCTAATTTTGTTCACCTTTTTTTTTATATCTGATGTGTAGCAAAATGACCCAGTGTGCTATGGTAACACAAAACATCCTGTCTGTAGAAATTAAGAAAACTATAGAAAATTGGCAATAAGCGGTCTGCAACGTGTTATATTTTAAATAGTGCCTCATATACTGGAAATGTTGCTACTTCCATATTAGGGTATGTGTGTTTCCTCCCAGGTCAGATAATAACAATAGTGATGAACATATACGTAATTCAATAACGCATAAAAAAACAAAACCAGAATACTGTATTACCTTTCCATTTCTCTCTCTCCTTCACTTTCTCGTGCTCTCCCTCTCTTCCGCCTGGTCAAGGGAGAAATACGATTTCAGGGTTAGACTATTCTGACTATTCTATATTAGTATTTTTAGTTTTTTCCTTTTATTTTTCACCTGGTAATCCAGCCAGCCAGGCTATTATTTTTCAACTTTCGTTATCATACCACACTGTCCAGCAACTAGAGACTTGAGAAAAAAAACATTTAATACTGACAGTGGTGCTTACATTTTTGTACAACCTATATCCCAAAAGGAAAAAATTGTTTCTGTAACTGCTTCTAAAGTGTTGGTTGGTGTTTAGCTTTAATTTGTTCGTCAACTCCATCTAACTCTGCTAGTTTAATACTACCCTCTCCGCAGACTGACAATGCTGCTGTCCAAAGGTGTCTGCTTCACTACTTCATCCACAATGCAGACACCCAGTGTGTTAATGGTCAGATTACCAGGTGAAGTAAAGGAAACAAGTCTAAAAAGGAAAACTAAAGCAGCCACCACACCTATGAATTGGTATGCTGAAATATAATACAATTTTGTTTTTTTGTTTAATATTGCTTCAATAAATATAGTGGTCTCTGGTGACCAGATTTTTTGCTACATTTTTTTTAATTGTTGCTAAAAACATATTATTCAGGACCAGCAACTTTGGTTGTTTGCAACAAAAGAATGTGTCATTACATCTACTAGGCTGGATTGCAACTCTAAGAAACACTCTCTTGTACATAGTACCTCTAGCATGTTATTTTCCTCTCTTCTTTTTTTCTGTTTTAATTAGTATTTTTGTATGAAACCTCAGGAAACAAGGATGAACAATATTTTAAGCTCAGATGTGCAGTAAATATGCCTTCATTGGTTTGTTAAAGTGGCATTTGAATGAAACATATGTAATCTGCAGTATATGATACCCATCTAATATTTTATTAATGTTTATATGAAAAGCTCACTGCAAACTTTACTTGTGCTTTGTGCTGTTAATCTGGCTCTTGCTGTTTGTTTGCAGTCTATGCTCAGCCAATTATCAGCAAAGCCCAGCCAGACCTTCTAAAGAGCCATTTTATTCCCACACTGGAGAAACTGAAGAAGAAAGCAATAAAGATTGTGCAAGAGGAGGAGCAGCTGAAAGCAGACAGCAAGGCTGACACTCAGGAAGCAGAGTTGCTCATTCTGGATGAGTTTGCAGTTTTATGTAGAGATCTCTATGCTTTTTATCCTATGCTGATCCGATACGTAGATAACAACAGGTATAATGGAGCATAAACTACTGTCTTCTGTTATAGATGGTTATATTTTCTGACTGACTGAAAAAATAACTGTTGCTTAATTTGTGCAAATTAGGTCAAACTGGCTCAAAAAACCAGATGTTGATTCTGATGATCTGTTCAGAATGGTGGCTGAAGTTTTCATTCTTTGGTGTAAATCACATGTAAGAGACCTCTCTGTTTGTTATATATTGCTTTCATTGTACATGTATAATTTCAGATACCTCCCATATAGTGGTTGCTGATGGCTGTTAAAATGTTTATATTTAGCCGTGTTTATGATTTTTATCATTAATTGGTCTCTGAACTGTCTAAAGTTATTTAAAACTAATCCAGATTAGATAAGAAGTAGAATATGACAAACAGTCCTCACTCTAAACCAGGGTTTCTCAACCAGGGTTCCAAGGAACCCAAAGGGTTTCTCCAGAGTTTGTTAGGGGTTCCTTCAGCAAGGAGCAATTTCTGCCTCTCAGATAAGTTCCCACCGACACCATTGATCATTTTAGCTATCTGTAAGGGGGTAATTCTTCTCAATGACCACAGGTGTAAGGAGTATTTTTTCTACTGGCCATCACACTAATGTATCATGAGTTGTAGATATAAGGGTTTATTTACTAAAGCTGGTTCACCCAGAATCTGGTGCACCTGTGCATGGTAGCCAATCAGCTTCTAACGTCAGCTTGTTCAATTAAGCTTTAGCACTAAAACCAGGAAGCCGATTGGTTTCTATGCAAAAGTGCACGAGATTCTGAGTGAACCAGCTTTAGTAAATAAACTCCATAGTAATTTTAGCAGGGGTTCCCTGAGACCAGAAACAAAAGTAAAGAAAGAGTTCCTCTGTGTTGAAAAGGTTCAGAAAGGCATCTCTAAAGATTGTTTATATCAATAGAGTATACTCTCATGTCTTAAAGGCTAAGCTGTACTATAGCTTTCATGATCGAAAAGAGCTTCATGTTTGGAGGATGGGCAGATGAAGGAAAGGCCTGCCTCTTTCATTCATAGCTTGTTTTTAACCACTTGCCCTCCAGAAGATTTACCCCCCTTCCTGACCAGGCCATTTTTTTGTGATACGGCACTGCGTTACTTTTACTGACAATTGCGCGGTCATGAAATGCTGCACTCAAATTAAATTTATGTCCTTTTTTCCCACAAATAGAGCTTTCTTTTGGTGGCATTTGATCACCTTTATGGTTTTTACTTTTTGTGCTGTAAACAAAAAAAGACTAACAATTTTGAAAAAATTTTTTTTTTTAATTTTCTGCTATAAACATATCCAATAAAAAAAATTAAAAATTTTAATTCTTCTTAAATTTAGACCAAAATGTATTCTTCTACATATTTTTGGTAAGCAAAATACCAATAATTGTATATTTATTAGTTTGCGCAAACGTTATAGTGTCTACAAACCATGTTTTTTATTTATTTTTTTTTATATTAGTAATGGCGGTGATCAGCAACTTATAGCAGGACTGCGATATTGCGGAAGACATTTTTACACTAACTGACACTAGCTGACACTTTGTGGGAACCAGTGACACTAATACAATGATCAGCATTAAAAATATGCACTGACAGTGTACTGACACTGACTGGGAAGGGGTTAACATCTAGGGTGATCAAAGGGTTAAGTGTGTGCCTTGCTATGTGCTTGGTAAACACTAGGTGATGCTTTTACTATGGGAAGTGATCAGAGGTGTAGCTGGGGGGGGGGGCAGGGGGGGTACATATGTGCCTGGGCGCCAAAATGAGGCTTACAACCAGGGACATATTTGCCGCGAGGCAAACAAGGCGTTTGCCTAGGGTGGCACTTTTTAGGGGGGGTGGTGCGTTGCCGCCGCCCCCCCTTCCAACAGAAGGGACACTTAGTACAGGGGCGGGCAGTGGGTTGCTGTGTCTTACCTGGTTCTGTGTCCCAGTCCCACGATGATCCAGTCCAGGAGGCGCTGCTAGAGGAGGGGTAGAGAGGTCCGCAGGTCCGCTGTCTTCTTTTCCCTGGACGCGATGTGTGGGCAGGATGACATGCTACCCCTGTCATCTGATCACTGGACAGCCTATGGCAGTTTGTACCTCCCTCTGCAAGCTCCGCCTCCTCACCGGTGATTGGGCGCCAGAACTGTAGCTCAGGAAAGGCACACAGGCAGCCAATCACCTGCGAGGAGGCTGAGCTTGGAGAGGAGGAGCCGAGTGGCAGCGCGAAGATCGAGTGAGGGAGCGGCCAGAGCAAGTGAAGACAGCTGACCAGTAAGTGTGCCGTTCAGATGGTGCTGCTGCAACCAGGTATGCTGGCTGTGGATGGGAGAGGGAAGGAACCTAGGCTGGAGCAGGGGTCAGCAAGGTAAGTGTCATTGGTGTCAGTGGGAGAAATAGTGCCCTATCATTGGTATTGCTTATGTGATTAAACAGGGAGGGGGGCTGGGGCACCAATTTTATAGTTCGTCCCCTGGCACAAAATATCCTAGCTACGCCTCTGGAAGTGATGGATTGTTTTCTCTGCTCTGCAGAGAAACACTTTACGGCTTTTCCTTGTCAAAACAGTACTATGGCTGTTTAAACATAGCCATAGCACTGCTTTTGCTTCTTGACTGGCGATCTGCAGGTGCCAATGAGCAACTGATCGCCGGGGCTTGTGGATCGTTTTGTGCTGTGAGAGTTCACAGCAAAATATCTTCTCCAGCGGCACGCATGCGCTCCCATGTGGTGGAAGTGCGCAATTACTTTTTTTACGTGATTTTGTACAAGAGAGCTGCCCTGAAGCAGTAAAACTGCTATAGGGTGGATAGAAAGTGGTTAATTCATGGAAGCTATAATACGGCTTCCATGAATAGAGGAGGTGGGCGGAATAGGGCAGACATAGATAGCACTCTCGACAATTGCATATGACAGGTCCCTTGCAATGTATTAACCCCCGCATCATCAGAATTTTACAGCTACAGCTGTAAGGGGGAACAGAAGACATAGGATTTCAACCTCACATTGGTTGTGAGTATAGTCCCTTGTGCTGATTTTTCTATTCTTAAATTTGACTTAGGCTTTAAGTTTCATAGAAATGATCCCAAACATTTCTTTGTACCATCTCCAATTAGACTGGACATGATCCCATATCCTATTAGAGTCTTTATTTCCTTTTTAAAGATAGAGCACAGAGGCCCCCTTGACCAAGATTCAGCAGCATGCAGATGAGCTTTCATGGCAAGGGTGCCTGACCCTTGAAACAGTCTAGATAAAAACATTTTCTAACTGGATATCAAGGTCTGGGACTATTACTACTTCCACCCTCCAACCTTGATTATAAATTCTACAAGCATAGCTTTACTTTACAGTGTAGTATTCAATAAATGCAATGCTACAAAAAGCAGCCAAAAGCTTTGGACATACAGCAGGAGATGGTCAGAGATACAAATATTGTGCAAGAGATGGTCATTAACTACAGACATGCTATAGGAAATGGTCAGAGGCTGACAACATATGCTACAGGAGTTTTTGGAGACTGGGGAAACGTGTCAGCGGCCAATAAGAGACATATGAGATTGCTAGAAATCACTTCTATTATAGCCCTTTTTTTAAAAAAAATAGTATTTTCACATGTGTGATCCCTACAGCTCCTTAAAAAATATTAGTGCCACATCTGATATGTCTCTCAGAAAGATCCATTATATAAAATCAGATCAAACCAGACAAACCAAACCATTTAACTACTGTTAAGCCATTCTTATTAATATTTTAATATTTTACTTCACTTGCCCAAGTAAGCACCTAGGTAAGAAAACACAGATTATTGTATAGGAATAATTTTTATGAATCGACCGGTTACTAGCAAGAGGGAAAGAACAAACTCATTGACACACTGTATCATATCACCTGCCTATTTTATAACTGGAAATTCTTGACAACATGATTTCAGATTGCAGTATGTCCTGTTTTTATTAACCTAAATGTATTAATGGTATCAATATGAATTATAGAAGAGGGTATTTCTGTTTACCCACCACTAGTAGTGAGAGAGAAGATGTAGAGGGGCCATATTTGTAAAATACCACTTCAGATTATCTTGCACGTTAAATCCATGGAAATAGGCTTTACTGATGTTTAAATGATGTTAATAATGCATGTGTGTGATTTTTTTTATATCCCTTTCTGTTCTATTATTTAGAATTTTAAAAGAGAAGAACAGAATTTTGTAATTCAGAATGAGATCAATAATTTGGCATTCCTGACTGGAAACAACAAGAGTAAGATGTCTAAAGTAAGTCTGCTTGAACAGCCTTTCTCAACCAGGGTGCCCAGTCACCCTGGGGTGCCTTGAGGTTTCTTCAGGGGTGCCTTGGCAAAATGTCTAAAAATTGCCCAAAACTTGTATACATGCCAGCAGGTGGAACAAGCATGCCTTTTAGTTACAAAAAGCCACAGGTTTACATTGTGTACCATTATGACCTTTTAGCCACCAACATCTTGACAACCAATGACATCATCCGTTGATAAGGAGGATGTGAGCTGTCTGCCCCTTTCCATCAGTGCTGGGGTTACATTAGCTCAGTGATGGAGAAAAACTGAGGGAGAAGAGAAACATTGGTATACTAGTCAGTACCAGTGTGCAAAAGTGTATTTGTTTTGGAAGAATAAACCACCTCTAACGTTGGGAGTCCTACATGCATGGATTTTGCTGCGCTATATAAAACTATTAGAATTGTTTTTCACATTTTAGAATGGGGTGCCCTTTTAAAATTATGGACAGTCTAGAGACACCCCATTTTAGAATGTCCATAATTTTAAAGGGTGCCTCGAGGGTGTCCATAATTTTAAATGGTGCCTTGACTGAAAAAAGGTTGAGAAACACTGTGCTATTAAACGTGTGCCAAATGCCTATGGTCTTAATTGACATTACAAATACGTTTGTTCAGTAAAAATATATTGTTATGTTCTATTAAAATTAGCTAAAAAAACAAGTTGCAGAAGACACAGTTTTGTCTGATGCAATAGTTACTTTTATTGGCTTTGGACTTGTGGTGCACATAAACCACTGAAAACATTAGTTTGGTAAATTTTGGTTAAAATAGTGATCTTAGGTTCCTACAGAGGTGAAAATTGAGAGTGCAGACAACAGCTGCCAGTAGACAGATGAAATAGAAAAAGCCATTAAATTGGAGAGTGATATAAAAAATACCAGGTAATTTTTCTTAATGTTGTAGTTTTTTATCTGCTGACAGTTGGTCAGATTAGACAACAGTCTATGCTAAACTTTCCAGTTGTATTCTAGTGTGCTATATGTAAGCACATTCATCCTAGAAGGTTCACAGTTTGGTAAGTATGGTAAGCTATTTTTCCTCAGCAACAATCCAGGATTATTCCTCCAGTTCCACGTTCAGCTCTAATGTTTTTATACTGTCTAGACTCTATAACAAATTTTGACAGTAAAGACTGGTAACTGTTAAAGTCACATTTAAATATACCTGTAAACTGAATAGTCATCTCACAGATAATTAAGGAATATGTGGTTCATTTTCATCTGTTTTACTTACTTGTCTCCTGCATTTTTTTTTCACACAGCCCATACAAGTGAAGGTACAGCATGCATGACCTGTCTATGTATTAGCTAGCCTGGCTCCATTCATTCATATGTTCCATCAGTGTTAGCAGTGGCGTCACCAAGGGCAGTTACACATCAAACCATTTAGATATGGCTGTTGAATTTTGGTAGAGGTTCACAGAGTTCCCTCTTTTTCTCATTTCACAATGGACTGTCAAATGAGTTACAATATATTTTGTTGACTATAGTATAGTATAGTTTCCACCCAGAAAAAAGCTTATCTTAGAGTGTGCCCAGGATATGGTAAATTGTAAGTTTCACCTGCATTGCAAGCATTCAATTGTACAAATAAATGTCTTTTGACTGTCTTATTAACCAAGGACAAAGTCACCCTAAAGTTTTTTGTTACAGTCACTTCTATCAACGAAGATCACAAAGTCCATTTCTGCATGCTCTCAGCATGCAAGGTCAAGGGAAATGGTCTTATCCTTTCAAAGAAGCCTGTCTTAGAAAATACCCTCTCATTTGTAGACCAAGATCTGTAAATAGGCAACACAGTCTAGGCCCTAGACCACATACATTTTAGGAGGGTGACAGAGTGGGGGTTTATTTACTAAAGCTGGAGAGTCCAAAATCAGACTCCCTTCTGCATAGAAACCAATCAGCTTCTAACCTCAGCTTGTTCAATGAAGCTTTGGCAATGAAACCTGGAAGCTGATTGGTTTCTATGCAGAAGGGAGTCTGATTTTGGACTCTCCAGCTTTAGTAAATAAACCCCAGTGTGTCTTTCTCGGATTTTTTAAAATCTCTTCTTAATGCATATTGTCAAAACAAGAAACATATTAGTAAATTGAAGTTTCTCCAGATGTAAAATGCAATTGTGCAACCACACAGTTCTGTAGTCCGTAGGTGTACATAGACAAGGAGTATAGCTTTGGCTGGTTTCAGGTTTTAAAAGCTCTTGTTTGCCCTTAGCTTATATTTGTTATGGGTTGTTGAAAGTTTTGTGAGAAATGTAATAGCCACTTATTTTTTTCTATGAGTTTAACAGTACCGATATACATTTTTGTATGACTATACATTACCTTGCATTCTTCTTTGGTACACACAGTGATTCATGATTCAGATCATCCATAAGAACACACCCTTGTGACGCCACTGATGTTTTTTTGTAGTATATGTCATTTCAATGGGTATAGTTAATGTGTTTCCCTATATTAGTGCGTTTCATAGATCACCCTTGCAGAAAACTGTTTGAAGGCACAAATGTAAGCAAAGCTTTGATGCCCAGCAAGCTATTATGTTCTTCCCACACAGGCAGTTTAGCGATGTTATAAGAGATACACTGCTGAAAAATCATCAGCATATCAATCAAATTTTGTCCCTAAAATCATGTTGAATATGGTCATTTAGACAACGTTATACACTGTGATGCAAGTTTAAACTGATTGAATAGAAGGTATCTGGAATAAGCTATGCTTGATATATATCATTGTCAAGTTAGATTTAAGAAGGTAACACAGGCAACCATGCTTGAAACAAGAGTACACAAGGGCAGCCATGTTTGAAGCAGCATAAGAAAGGCATTCCTTAGAAGCATTTCACAGATATGTTTCTGTCACTAACTGCACATGTGAGGGTAGCCATTACTAAATCAGTACCATACCTTAAGGCACTTTACATAAGGTCAGGCATGTCTGAAGTGGTACAACAGTGACTATCCTGACTCTAAATCTAGAAATGACAGTGGGGGATCAATGGCAATTCAAGGAAAGCTTTAGCCAACCCTAATTTATCTCTTTGCATAAGCATATTTATTCCCCTGTGAGAAAATCTCAAATTGTATGAAATCAGACATATTTACTATTTTGCCCATTTCTAATCTCCCTTGAAAATCTGCCTAAGGGATTTTGTAATTGACCTTACTGTGCATTCAGATTCCATTTACTCTTGCCACATGTTTGTTTACTGACCCTTATCAAGTGACTCCAAAACATTTCTTCATACAGACCCATGTCAGTCTATGCCCTGACAACTAAAATGCCTTAATATTACGAATACTGATTGTTTTTATTTGATATGCTATGACTCTTTACTCCAGACAATACAACTTGGTTTGGTGCATATATCACAATATACAATTTACTATACGCTTGCGTAGCTCAGAGCTTTGACTTGCAGTCTTAAAGCATTAGTCCCTCTGTTTTATTTTGCAACTTCACAGTTCTTGAATTCCTATACAGGTGCAATATTGCAACTTTTTAATGCAACTTATTTTGCCATCTCTAGTATAACAAAATACAATCAACACGATTTTTTGTAAAATAATTACAGAGGAGTTGATTGTTTCAAGTTTTAGCATTTTTTTCTCTTGTTTTCTATTGTTCTTTCACAGAGGGGCTGCTGTTCTAGGGCTGTTTATTTGATGTGCCTTGTTTCATGACTACTTGAAGTACAGTATGTTTCACCTGATGTCAAAATTGTGGTTTCATCTAGTCTATAGTCTCTATTCTGTATTGTCTATTGTGTATTACAAGTGGTGACAATGTCATTGCAGGCTTTGTTTTTCTTTATTTGTAATTTGTAACATCATTGTCAGTAAATATATTGCACAGAATATACTAGGTTTACAAAGTGTATACAATGCCACACTTATTGACAAATCAAACAGGGATATTATAATTGCTCACTGACTTTTTAAAAATAGTGCTCAGTTCCTTGTTTGTTAGGTTGTAAATGCAATAAGTAATTATTGTATCCCTTGATTTTAATCTATTCTAATGGTTTAAGGGAAAGGGAATCGTTATGATTTTACAACTAAAATTACATCACTTAAACTAATGGTAAGTACTGGGTTTGGTTTTACTGGATCTATGTTTCTAAAAGAGAAAGTCAGTATAGTGTACTAAAGTGAAATAATCTAGATTCTAATACTAACTGACATAAACTGAGCATCATTACATGCATATGTAATAGTGGTATTTCTGTTAGGGATATGGTACTGGGCTGAATGTTTGGCAGCAGCATGAATCTGCATTCCCTGCAATCTACAACAGGTTTTGGTGTTTATTAGGGTCTGTAGAAATGTTAGGATAGCAACTGAGGAAAGTACTTATTTCCGGTGGGATACCTTATGGGGTTGATTTACGAAAACTGGCGAGTGTAAAATCTGGTGCAGCTGTGCATGGTAGCCAATCAGCTTCTAACTTCGAGCTTGTTCAATTAAGCTTTGACAAAAAAAAACCTGGAAGCCAAGCAGAGCTGCACCAGATTTTACACTGTCCAGTTTTAGTAAATCAATCCCATTGTTTTTCAAAGCATACAGTACATACAGGAACCAGGTGCAATGTAAATTTGTGTGTTGAAAATTCTGCACACTTGCAGCAAAGTCATTTGTTTCTTAAACAAGATTGATCATTCATGGAAGAGTAACTAACAGGAAAAAAGTGCCACAATGTTAAATTGCTTGTTTAGTCAAAACCTTTTTTTATTTTTTGTCACCACAACAAAAAGAGTGGGAAATCCAAAATTTTAGAGTTGTCACTAATGCAAGAGTTGAGGGGAAATCTTTCCAGTGGGGATTCTTGTTCCAGTGTCAGCTTCCTTAGGGAGAAATTGCCTGCACTTTAGCCCTGGTTCACACATGCACGTTTTCTAATGCGATTTGAGAGTCTGAATTCGCATGACAAGTCAAATTGAAGGTCTTCTTATTGAGTGTGTTCAGATAGGGTTGCAGTGTGTTTTTGAAAAATGGCCCTGTGCGACTTTGGGACAGTGCAATTGCACTCCATAGAGTTGAATAGGAAGTGTGATAATACAATGCGTTTTTTTCTTTTCCCTTATGGAGTGTACAGTGCAGTGTGCAGAGAGACCAAATTGCTAACAAATATGTAAAGATGCATTAAAAACGCATTGGTGTTCATACAAAAACATGTCTGATTTGCAATGCTAAATCACACTCAAAAACTCAGCGATTTTAAAGTGCATATGTGTGAACCTAGGCTCTGAGAGAATTCCTTTCACTTCCTGATGCGACTCTAGAAGTAAAGAGAAATCTTACCAACGCAATACAGGCAGCAAAAAATAAACTAAAAATAAGCAAAGGTTTTGACCAGGGCCTACTCTAAAGCTAAAAAACAAGTTTTGCCTATACATACACTTTAAAGCACATTAGGTTCTGCAGGCACTCTACTTCTGACTGCATAGCTATGCAAATGCCTTGGTAACCACCCATGAGTATTCATCCCTTTAGTTCAATACGCTCTGTAAGACCTGGCAAGCATTCAGTAGACATTAAAAACATACAGTTGCAAGAAAAAGTATGTGAACCCCTTGGGATTACGTGGAGTTTTTCATGAATTGGGCATAAAATGTGCTCTGAAAGTCATCTAAGTCACAACAATAGAAGAACACAGTCTGCTGAACATAATACTACACAAACATTAGATGTTGCCATGGTTTAATTGCACATAACATGTAAACATTCACAGTGCAGGGAGGAAAAAGTATGTGAACCTTTGGACTTAATAACTGGTTGACCCTCCTTTGGCAGCAATAACCTCAACCAAATGTTTCCTGTAGTTGCAGATCAGGCCTGTACAACGATCTGGAGTCATTTTGGACCACTCCTCTTCACAAAACTGTTTCAGTGTAGCAATATTCTTGGGATGTCTGGTGTGAATCGCTCTCTTAAGGTCATGCCACAGCATTTCAATCGGTTGAGGTCAGAACTCTGACTGGGCCACTCCAGAAGGCGTATTCTGTGCTGTTGCAGCCATTGTTTTGTTGAATTACTTGTATGCTTTGGGTCATTGTCCTGTTGCATCACCCATCCTCTGCGGAGCTTCAGTTGGCGGACAGATGGTCGTACGTTTTCCTGCAAAATGTCTTGATAAACTCTGGAATTCATTTTCCCATCAATGACAACAATCCGTCCAGGCCCTGAGGCAGCAAAGCAGTCCCAAACCATGATGCTCCCTCCGCCATGTTTCACAGTGGGGATGAGGTTTTGATGTTGGTGTGCTGTGCCTTTTTTTCTCCACACATAGTGTTGTGTGTTTTCTTCCCAAACAACTCAATCTTGGTTTCATCTGTCCACAGTATATTTTGCCAGTAGTGCTGTGGAACATCCAGGTGCTCTTTTGCAAACTTCAAACGTGCTGCAATCTTCTTTTTGGACAGCAATGGCTTCCTCCGTGGTGTCCTCCCATGTACTCCATTCTTGTTTAATGTTTTCCTTATTGTAGATGTGTCAACAAAAATGTTAGCATGTGCCAGAGATTTCTGTAGGTCTTTAGCTGACACTCTGGGATTCTTCTTTACCTCATGCAGCATTCTGCGCTGTGCTCTTGCAGTCATTTTTACAGGACGACCGCGCCTAGGGAGAGTAGCAACAGTGCTAAACTTTCTCAATTTGTAGACAGTCTGTCTTACCGTGGACACATGAACATCAAGGCTTTTGGAGATACTTTTGTAACCCTTTCCAGCTTCATGCAAGTCAACAATTCTTGATCGTAGGTCTTCTGAGAGCTCTTTTCTGCGAGGCATGGTTCACATCAGACAGTGCTTCTTGAAACCAGTAAACCCAAAACAGGTGTGTGTTTTTTAAGGGCAGGACAGCTGTCAGCAACACATCCAATATCATCACACTGATTGGAGTCAAGGTTGGCTCACTCCTGGCTCCAATTAGCTCTGGGAGAAGTCATTAAGCTAGGGCCTCACATACTTTTTCCTCCCTGCACTGTGAATGTTTACATGTTGTGTGCAATTAAACCATGGCAACATCTAATGTTTGTGTAGTATTATGTTCAGCAGACTGTGTTCTTCTATTGTTTTGACTTAGATGACGTTCAGAGCACATTTTATGCCCAATTCATGCAAAACTCCACGTAATCCCAAGGGGTTCACATACTTTTTCTTGCAATTGTATGCTGAAATCCCTTTTGAACATCTGTATAGACTGAGCCTTCAGGATGTTTCTTTCAGTTAATGAAGGATTCCACTTTAGTGGGAAAGCAGCATAATGTTTTAAAGTAAGCACATAGAAAAAAATGTTATATCTTTTACCAATTAGCATGTTTACCCCTTTTCACTTTAATAGAAAAAGAGCGAACTTGTAGCCCATAATAGTACCATGCAATAGTCTGTGTCTGTTCTCACATTTCTTTTGCACTGATTCCATAAAGCAAAATAGAGTAAGTTTGTATTGCATCATAAAAACATTTTTTCTCAGCTTTGGCATACTGGGGAGGAGAAATGGCCACACACAAGTGCTATTTTTGTTCTTCAATGTGTCTCTTACTTTTTAGAGATATTAACCTACAATAAACAGTAAGATTTATTTAAACAAGGGGTTGCTTTGTTTCTGGGGTTTTGCTAGGGATAAGTTACCAAGCCAGATTAAGCAAAGATAAGTGCTTAGCATAGTTATTAATATCCTGTTCATTACAGAGCTTGGCTTCCCTTTACAAGCATCATTACTTCATACACTTTGGCTAACATCATAGATATACAAGACATGAACCGCAATGACACCTATTACAATAATGTTCCCACTGTTCTGTCACTCTCATGATTACTTTAGGTGCAACGGGCATGATGTGTGAACAAATATTAAAAAATATAATGTACAAGGGAGCTATTATGTTTATATTGGATGTAAGTTTTCCACTATATGAATTTGCAGATATATTGACCATGCTGCAGTTATCAGCAAATGAAACCTAAGAGTAGAAATTTCCATTTGGTGTTTATTGAAGGTTTCAAGTAGGTTTTTTTGCAAGTTGTTATATATCTCTGGATTCTTTTCAGTTGGTAAATGTTTAGATATGCTTTAACTAATGGTGTTTGTAGCACTGATGAACAGTTTGTTTCCATACTACTGCCTAGCTCTCTATACACAAAAAAACATGTGCTCATTATATTTCCTTAGGAGCAAATGGGGAAACTGGTGCATAGGAAAGGGTGTTCTATCCACCAGGAATACCTTGTGTGGCTTTGTTTTTAGAACTGCATTTATTAAATAACACATATGAATAGTTTCTTTTGGCCGCTTTTCTTTGTATCAGTTTTCCAAATTATCCTCAGAATGTTGTTTTTTATCTGTAAAAGGTGTTTAGGATTACATTATGCAAGATAATATTGATTGCTGTGGAAATGCTTTGTGTGAGTAAGTGTAATACAAAAGACATGCAGTCCCTTTTAGCCCTATAGCTATCCATTATCTGGTCCCTAACCATTCCTTCATGGTGTCACTATTCTAGTCTGGAGGGCAAGATCAGGAGAGGAAGAGAACAAAGCGCAGAGGAGATCTTTACTCCATACAGACATCCCTGATTGTGGCTGCCTTGAAAAAGATGCTACCCATTGGGCTGAACATGTGCACCCCGGGGGATCAGGAACTCATTTCCCTTGCAAAGATCCGATATAGCCTTGTAAGTACAGCAGCATCATAGAGATTGCTGTTTTTCTAATATTCCTGGAATGGTGATCTAAGGATTTTGGCTGGTAAATGTGTGTGAGAAAAAGATGTACATCCCTCTGCATCCATTTATGCACAAATTATCTTCATCCTGAATTGCTGATAGCTGCAAATAAATGCTGTTATCATTCAGAATGTGCACAGCCTACAAATATCACATTTGCATTTCTATCTTTATGTTGGGATTAGTCTGTGTCTGTGGTTAAATTCTTCTTGCATAATGTGCATGCACTGTTCTTTTTGAATGTAGCGGTTGAAAAGAAATGGGAAAAGATTATACCCTTTTTGTTAGTTTGACAGCTACCTGATTCATGATCGATGTCAATACATAAACCAGTAAAATGTTCAAAGTCAAATAAATGGTTCTGTCTCTACCTTTCAATGGAAAAACAAACAAACATTGATAAGTGGGTAGATGACCAGATTTTTTTTTATGTGAATAAAAGAGGTTGTGGAAAGGTGGATTTAAAGGCCAAATAGCATAGTGGGTGGGGCCATGTTAATTATTCCTTTATGCCCCCAGCTAACTGAGCACCTAGAGATTCTGGCTTACATCAATTGCAGGGTCATATTATAAAGCCATTTTTTCCAAACTACATAAAACTATTTTAGGTTTATTATCCAACATCTGTGCCATTAATGTGCATCATGGTTTATAAGAGTTATAAGAAAGCATAACCAAACAGGTTTTGATAAGGTGGATTTAAAGAACTCCATTGAAAGCCTTTTTTTCTGGCTTGGGTGGAATTGGTAAGGGTTAGAAGCTCTGCTCTGTTTTACAGCTGTCTGTTTCCCCAGTAGGATGAATTTGTTTTACTTCTTGTCCCTCACCGTCATGTCAGAGAAAATCTCCCCAAAGAAAAAAAAAACCTCATGATATATGAAAACCCTGGAACCTCAAGAAAGTGGTTAAGAAGATCCTTTGGGACTTCTGACACAGCTGTCAACTGCAGCGAAATATATTACCATTTTTAAAGTGGTATTAAATCCAACAGCTAACTGTGATGAATGCAGTACCCGACCCCTGCCCTTCTCACCAACTCGTGACATAGGACTGACCATTCTCATACTGTGGTGTCACTTAGGTAGCAATGCCACTCTCAGCTGCACCCTGCACAAAGATTTTTCAGCTTGTGGGACCACAGGGATTCTTTAATAAGGTCAAAGTGGTGCAAATAAATTATTTACAGAAAAAGAGTGTTACAAAGAAATAAAGAGACAACAGAGAAATAAAAAGCCATTGAAAATAAAGAATACTTAACTATGTCCTGGTTTGCAGAGTCCAATGAATAAGCCAAAAACGGTCCTGTTAGGTCAAGTCCTGTTAGGTGTTCCTTGGTTAGATGTTAAAATGAGAGCTGTCAATATGTCCTGGCATTCTCCTTTTCTGTGGTGTCAAAGGGGTGTTGACAGAAGCCAATTAAGCATCTGAGGAGTGGTTTGTTGGTTGCAGTTTGTGTATTGCATAAACTGAAAGAAGGAGGAGGGGAGGTCACTGTGTTATACCTTCTTATGACGAAATGGCATAGGAAACTTGGCTGCTACACACAGTTTATCCATTTTTAGGAGTGATGGCTGCATTTATTTTCCATTTTATGGTTTATTTCTCCTATTTTCCTCTGGTGATCCAGCCAATAAGTCTGTATCAGGGGCGGACTGACAACTCATGAGGCCCCCGGGTACTAGGGGATCATGGGGCCCCTGTTTCCTTGCCCAAACTCAAAAAAGCCTATGAAAAAGGTACCAGGGGCATCTCATGGGGCCCCCTACTGACCCTGGGCCCTCGGGCAGTGCCAGAGTTTCCAAATGGTCAGTCCGCCTCTGGTCTGTATTTCAAAAGAACAAGCTCTCCAGCAGAATGTATCAGTTACAGAGATGAGACAAACCATTTAACACTAGCAGAGGTGCCCACAATTATCAGATTTTATTTATGAAAAACCTTTATCCCAAAAGGTAAAAACTGGTTGCTGTAACTGCTTATAAAGAATAAGCTGGAGTTTGGTTTCAATGTATCACCATGTGAAAACACAGGGAAACAGAAGGAAAAAAAAACCTAAGAAAAGAAAATGGATCAGCCACCACATCTAATGATTGGTAAGCTGCAATAGATTACATTTATGGTTTTCAATGTAATACTACTTTTAGGGCAAGTATATCTATAGCCTGAAAATACATATAATAAATAACATAATAACATGCATAAGGTCTCAATTATACAATGCAGCCCCTGAACTTCAAGTGTAAGGTATTCTGGGATGATTGCCCTAAAAGGATTATACCTTTATGGATCATCTATTTCATTCACTTGAGTAAGTATACTGCCACAATATTGAGATTTCTTGTGAGATTTCACATTTCCTGTGTATACTCTGTATACCTTTTTTAGATACCTGTCTATGAAGACTCTGTTACTACAAATGCGCACTTCCCCTCGGGGAGATATTTGTCATAAGTTTACACATACTGTATGTCTGCATATGTCTTTTCAGATCAGAGGGATTTTACCATGTTTTTAGCATTCAAATTTTCTTCACATAACCTATGCAATAATACTTTTGAAGCCTGTACACTTACTTTAACATAAACTGTTAAGGGTGACTACAGATGGAGCATGCATAAATTCTGTATGCCATTTAGTAAGAGAGTGATATATTATAGCAAATATTTTGGCTTTCTGATATGTAGATGTAACCTCCTGTTCAGCTACATTATCTTCACTGTGAGCATACATTGTGTTTTATTTGTACTCTACCACAGTACTCTGTAATTGGATACTTATGCTAAATTTTAGTGCCTTTCAGAGATACTATTCTATTCTATCGTATTTCTTATATACATTATTATATAATCATATATACAGTATGTGTATATATACACATATTTATATATACATATATATATATATATATATATATATATATATTATTGGATCTTTTACTGAAACCAATATATTGTACAGTGGATTGACTTTATGATTTTAAATATAACCCTTTTTTATGCCTTGTCTTAAGGGTGACACTCTAGACTGAAGCATTCTTTTAGCTAAATTTTTGTATTAACATAAGCACTAATACAAATGAATACAGTAGGAATGAGAGGGCCTGCTCAATCTAAGAGGGAGGGTCAAGAGATACAAAAGGTAATAACTATAGGGGATGAGCGTATGGAGAAAATACAAGTACAGTTGTTAGGTGGGGGCAGGATAGGCCGCTGAAGTGAAGGGGTTTCAGGGATCATCAAACAGTGGACAGAGTAGGAGACTGTCAAACAGATTGGGGTAGGGAGTTCCATAGGATGGGAAACCCTGGAGGTGAGCATGAGAGGAATTGACAAGGGAGCTAGAGAGCAGGAGGTCTTGGGAGGACTTAAGAGAACAATTAGGTTGATATTTTGAGACTAAGTTAGTGATCTAGTTGGGGGCCAAGTTGTGAATGGCTTTGTAAGTTCTTGTTAGCATTTTGAATTGAATTTGTTGGGTGAGCAGAAGCTAGTGGAGGGATTGGCAGAGAGGGTAGCAGACACTGAATGGTTGGTAAGTTGGATGAGTCTGACATTAGCATTCATGATGGACTGAAGAATCACTATTAGACACTTATGTCAGACATCTGTGTACAACATACAGTCATGGCCGAAATTGTTGGCACCCTTGATATTTTTCCTGAAAATCAAGTATTTCACACAAAAAAGGTATTGCATTAACACATGTTTTGCTATACACATGTTTATTCCCTTTGTATGTATTGGAACAAATATAAAACAGAGGCAGAAAAGCAAATATGACATAATGTCACACAAAACCCCAAAAATGGGCTGGACAAAAGTATTGGCACCCTTAACTTAATATTTGGTTGCACACCCTTTGGAAAACATAACTGAAATCAGTCGCTTCCTATAACCATCAATAAGCTTCTGACACCTCTCACCCGGAATTTTGGACCACTCTTCCTTTGCAAACAGCTCCAGGTCTCTCTTATTGGAAGGACACCTTTTCCCAACAGCAATTTTAAGATCTCTCCACAGGTGTTCAATGGGATTTAGATCTGGGCTCATTGCTGGCCACTTCAGAACTCTCCAGCGCTTCTTTGCCATCCATTTCTGAGTGCTTTTTGACGTATGTTTGGGGTCATTGTCCTGCTGGAAGACCCAGGATCTTGGACGCAAACCCAGCTTTCTGACACTGGGCCCTACAGTGCGACCCAAAATCCTTTGGTAATCCTCAGATTTCATGATGCCTTGCACACAGTCAAGGCACCCAGTGCCAGAGGCAGCAAAACAACCCCAAAACATCATTGAACCTCCACCATATTTTACCGTAGGTACTGTGTTTTGTTCTTTGTAGGCCTCATTCCGTTTTCGGTAAACAGTAGAATGATGTGCTTTACCGAAAAGCTCTATCTTGGTCTCATCTGTCCACAAGACGTTTTCCCAGAAGGCTTTTGGCTTACTCAAGTACATTTTGGCAAACTGTAGTCTTGCTTTTTTATGTCTCTGTGTCAGCAGTGGGGTCCTCCTGGGTCTCCTGCCATAGCGTTTCATTTCATTTAAATGTCGACGGATAGTTCGCGCTGACACTGATGCTCCCTGAGCCTGCAGGACAGCTTGAATGTCTTTGGAACATGTTTGGGGCTGCTTATCCACCATCCGGACTATTCTGCGTTGCAATCTTTCATCAATTTTCCTCATCCGTCCACGACCAGGGAGATTAGCTACAGTGCCATGGGTTGCAAACTTCTTGATAATGTTGCGCACTGTGGACAAAGGCAAATCTAGTTCTCTGGAGATGGACTTGTAACCTTGAGATTGTTGATATTTTGCCACAATTTTGGTTCTCAGGTCCTCAGACAGTTCTCGTCTCCTCTTTCTGTTGTCCATGCTTAGTGTGGCACAGACAGACACACAATGCAAAGGTTAAGTGAACGTCTCTCCTTTTTATCTGCTTTCAGGTGTGATTTCTATATTGCCCACACCTGTTACTTGCCCCAGGTGAGTTTACAGGAGCATCACATGCTTGTAACATTCTTATTTATCCGCAGTTGTGAAAGGGTGCCAATACTTTTGTCCAGCCCATTTTTGGAGGTTTGTGTGACATTATGTCGAATTTGCTTTCTTTCCTCCCTTTTTTTGTTTTGTCCCAATACACACAAAGGGAATAAACATGTGTATAGCAAAACATGTGTTAATGCAATACGTTTCGTGAGAAATACATGATTTCCTGGAGAAATATCAAGGGTGCCAACAATTTCGGCCATGACTGTACGTTGGAGATTATCAGTATGCTGTTTCCATGAAGATAATTTGACTGTTCAGGGGCAGCACTGTATCACTGTGTTTTATACATGTTACTTTGGTAGTTATTAAATATATATTCATGCTACAGGTATACTTGCCCATAGCCTCCCTAGTGGCCTAATTATGTCAGTATTTCTGTGCTCAACGCGGTACATTTTTTTGCATGGAAATATGTATTTTTTTTATTGTAGGCCTGTAATTTTTAGGAATAACTCACTGAAATCTGTCCGAACAAGAGTCTAGTAAACATCCCGGGTATGTTAAAATTTGAAACACGAAATCATAAATTATAATTTAATAAATAATCATAAAAAATAAGAATATAATAATAATAAATTTAATTCAATAATATAATCAAACCAAAAACACTGAAATTTGAAATATAGCGCCAAGTTCACACATCACTGAGCAAAGTCGCAAAATCGTTTTCAGTGTCTGATGACGAATTTCCCCAGGAATCATCAATCAATTCTGCAAGTATTTCTAATTTACTATCGCTGCTCTCTAGCTGGTCTAACACCACTTTTGACCTAAAGGGACGCTTTTTGGATGCCATGGACATTTCTCAGTTTCCAGGCAGAAAGAACAGTAAAAACGCAGGCAGGGCCCAGGACAAAGCACTCGGGGCAAAATGTATGTGAAATGCTTTGATACAGTAATGTTTTACTATGTGATTTTAGTGTATTTAGTGAATGTCACTTTTTCACATTTTTAAATTTCCCGCCGTTCCGTGGTTTCTCCCGAGTTACGCTTGCCAATCTGCAGGCCCTCTTCACCGCCTAGAGAAGAGGAAGGAGAGTGGACATGTCCCCTCCCCTTCTTGTCCTGATTCAGAAGTGTTGTTATGATGTCACTTCCAGGACCCCATTGGCAGATTCCCGGCCATAAAGGCAGGGAAAGAATGTAATGCAGTGCGATGTGCACTGCATTACATTCAGTGGAGCATAAGGGAGAGATGCAGGGTCTTTTTAGACCTTGGATATGTCAATAAAGAGAACCTGTCACCAAAAATCATCACATAGGGGACTTTGTTCCCTATGTGATGAAAAAAAATGAAGTAAATGAAACAAAAAATGAAAACAAATAAAGTACATAAAAAAAAAAAAAATTAAAGTTACAAAGCACAAAGCCTCCCCCCCAAAAAAAATTGAGCCCCCCCCACTCCCACATATACTCGCGTACAAACGTAAAAGCAAACGCTGGTGCACCTGTGCATGAAAACGTTGATTGCGATACACATATTACATATCACCTCACACGCCAGGATGAGAGCAATAATTCTAGCAAGAGACCTCCTCTGTACACTATACTGATGACCTACAGTGAAGGAAATAAGTATTTGATCCCCTGCTGATTTTGAATGTTTGCCCACTCACAAAAAAATGTTCAGTCTAAAAATCGAATGGTAGGTGTATTGTAACACTGAGAGACAGAATAGCAACAAAAAATTCAAAAGAAATGCACGTCTAACAATGTATGAACTGATTTGCATGTTCATGAGGGAAATAAGTATTTGATCCCCTTCACAAAACATGACTTAGTATTTGGTGGCAACTCCCTTGTTGGCAATCACAGAGGTCAAACGTTTCCTGTAGTTGGCCACCAGGTTTGCACACATCTCAGGAGGGATTTTGGCCCACTCCTCCCAGCAGATGCCTCCAAATTTTTAAGGTTTGGTGGCTGACATTTGGCAACTCGAACTTTCAGCTCTCTCCACAGATTTTCAATCGGATTAACGTCTGGAGACTGGCTAGGCCACTCCAGGACCTTAATGTGCTTCTTCTTGAGCCACTCCTTTGTTGCCTTGGCTGTGTGTTTTGGGTCCCCGGTTCCCTGTTAAGGATTGGCACCTTTGGGGAGTGGGGGGGAAAGCGGGTACCCAAAATTGATAGGTACCCACTCCCACATCCGCTGCGATTGCCTAGGCAATTAAAAGCATAAGTTGCCCTCCCTCCCCATAGTCTTCTTCTGGGACACGTGACAGATCCCAGAAGACTACGGAAACATTCAAAATATGTGGTACCCAGGCATGCACAGTGAGCACCCAGCTGTGAAGCCACAAGCTGTCACAACCGTGGGCCCACACTGAAGATGCTGGCGCCGGGAACACAGGGCAACAGGTGAAAGGGGCTGCGGGGGGGGGGCAGGTAAGTGTCTGTTTTTTAAAAGTCAGCAGCTACAGTTTTTGTAGCTGCTGACTTTTATTTTTCTTTATTTTCACTGGAACACCGCTTTAAGTGCAGCCAGCCCAGGAAAATAAAACAGAACACTAGTATCTGTATAGAAAAACAAAGTAATCAATATATGAGGGGCGTATCAAACCGGGACTTTTCATTTTATAGGTATAAAAAGGGATGCTAGCATGGTGGTATTACATGCAGTAGTAAGTGGCAAGTGTGTCCTATTACTTAAAGCTGGCGCACATTTTGCGGGCTAATCAAGATGGCAGACAACACCGTTAGGGCGTGCATGGAACAGCGTGTGATGATGAAGTTTCTTGTGAATGAAGGCATAAAACTCATGGATATCTACAGAAGCACAGTATGATGATGAGATGCTCAGCCGCAGTAAGACATTTGAATTTTGTAAACATTTCAAAGATGGCCGTACGTCCATCAGTGACGATCCTGGCCGTGGTGGTTTCCAGCCCACAGCAGTAATTCCTGTAAACATTCAGTGCGTGGAACACCTGATCCTGGATAATCGATGCATAACCTGTCGTGAAATTGCACAAGAGATGAATCTTTCCATGGTCACCATTTCAGCACTGATGATGAAGTGAAGCATGCTGTCCTAGGATAGTTCAGGCGTGGTGACAAATCTTTCTATGCCGGGGGTTTCCAGGCATTAGTTATACACTGAGATAAGTATATAAATGTAGCAGGGGAGTACGCCAAAAAATAAATGCAGTTTCCAATCCTTGAAATGTGTTCTTTTATTATATAAACTCAAAAGTTCCGGTTTGACAGGAACGCCCCCTTGTATAAGTATAAACAACTTAAATGATAAAGCTATTCAAACATTGTCATCTGCTGCTATACTTTTTACAGAAAGACACAGATGAAGAAGTAAAAGAACACCTACGCAGCAACCTCCACCTGCAGGAGAAGGTACATGCTTATAAAAAAGCAATATACAGGATGAGAGATCATTTATTTTTGGGGTTATGATATAATGTGGGTACTGTATGTACATTATATTACATATCAGATAAAAGTTAAATATTATGTGTTTGAAAAAATGTTATTCTTTTGTCAAATTAGCCTATTTGACCTATGTGACTGTACTGAATTCCAACCATTTTGCCCAGATTTCAGTATTTTGTTTGCTGCATTAGTCAGTTGGACATTGATCTATGTTATCATGTCTAGCAGAATTTAACAAGGCTCCACTTGAAAGAACAGGAGAAATGATTAAACACTTAGTAATCATTCATGTACATAATAATTTTTTTTAACAGCGACCTGTAGCGACTAGTGTTGGAGGGTTGCTCACTTTACCAGCTTTTATTTGAAATGCCTTTTTGACACACACCTGGGCCCAATTAATTTGCCGTTCCATGCTGGCGCAGTACAAATTATCCTTGATTTCGTTCATTTAAAGCTAATTGATGTTAGCAAATTTGTATTTAAGATAAGCTTCTGTGCTACTCAGTCTCCACTTGTCCTCCACCCCTTGAACACTGACCTTGTCTTTCTCTTGCTGCCAGTCTGAAGACCCTGCAGTGAAATGGCAGCTGAATCTCTACAAGGATATTCTAAAAAGTGATGAGACGGATCCAGAGAAAGCAGTAGACCGTGTTCAGAAAATATCTGCAGCTGTCTTCCATCTTGAACAGGTAGAAATCCCTAACCTCTTAGGGCAATCTGTTAGACAAACTAAGTCATTTGTATTTCTTACAATTTTTAAAATACACAAAAGCATTTAAAAATGCAGTGCTCACCTATTACTGGATTATGCTTTTATTTTCTGTGCCACTCACTGTCTTCTTGTAGGGAAAGCTTAATGTAAATTAATTTATCATTCACTGAGTTGTCTTTTTATGGAATCACCCTTTTATTGTGCCCCATTTTAATGACTCTGACTTTTTATCTTGACACGTTGACCACAGGTGGAGCAGCCCTTGAGATCTAAGAAAGCTGTCTGGCACAAGCTCCTGTCGAAGCAAAGGAAGCGAGCTGTTGTGGCCTGTTTTCGCATGGCTCCTTTGTACAATCTGCCAAGGTTAGGCTCAAGAGATGTGTCCTATTTTTTCTTTGTCATTACTGTTGAGCCTGAAGCTACTAGGGGCTCTGGATGTCCTTTTTGTGAGTGATCTTTGCTGCAGAATAACCCAACGTGCAGCTCTCTGTGCTTTATTCCTATGCTGTATTGCGTTGACTTTGCAATTTGCATTGTTTGTGAACTTGCTCTTTGCCTAAAGCTATCATTTCCCTCATGTTTACATCATGAGCGATTTGTAAACATGCTGTGGATGACTGTTAAGTTAGGTGGTAAAATACTAAATTTCTTTCCTAGTTATAATTATATCAATCTGTCAAGTAACATCTTTTACAGCAATGTCAAAACTACTAATAGATTCCCAATGGTACCCTATAAGGTCTTTCACTGTTGTATTGTTAAAAAAGATTTCAACAGTCTTACACAGCTTGGCCACTCTTTTATGCTTTTAAAGAGTGGTTGCAATTAAACTGCATTACTAACAACATTTTATTGTGATAATATTTAGGCAAGCATTTAGTTTATATGCAGGTCTATGTGTTTTTAATGTATACACTGACAATTTCCTAGCTAAGTGCTAATGACAGGCAAAGAAGAGAATACACTCAGTATGTGGCAATGACTAAAGTTTTCCAACAGAGCTTGACATGCATCAGTTGGATATATGCATGAAAGGTATACATGAATCCATGTATAAGGTATGCATGTGTCATGTATGCCAAGTTTTGAATTCATGCATAAATTGAGTTGCACATGCATATAGAAGGGAGAGATCAGTGTGTCCCAAATAAAGCTATATGAGGGTTTTTAGCATGGTGTTATTATCAGTTGTTTGCTTGTACTCTATTGCAGACTGTGCATATAGTGTAATACTGATCCTTTTCTATTATTATACTATCTATAATTATACTGTATTAACTGTAAGGTGTACTCAGAACTACCATAAATAACTTGCATATACACATTCTTTGTGACAATGCAGTATACTATTATATATCTTAAGCATTAGAACAGAAATGCACAATGCACACATGATTAAAATGATTAGCAATACAGGCCACATACTGGTAATCTATCAAGTCTTACAAGAGATTTTTGTCAGCTGGAGTCAGTGCTATTACTGGTGTGCTTTTCTCTAAACTTATTACTGCTGATAACATTTCTTTGTCATTTGGCAATATATAGTGTTGTAAGCTTCAAGCTTTTCTCTTATCCTAGCTATCATGATGAAACATTTTTCCTTAGTAAATAACAGTTTATTAAATCTGTCTGTTACTTTGTGCTGACATCTTGTTGCAACCAATGCCTGGCTCTCTCTAAAAGAAAAAAAAAAGGACCTTTAAGAAAATACACCTTACCGTGTATGTTCTCTATACACTTTTTAGTACTGTGAATTATTTGAAACAGGTGTAAATGCAAAGCAAAGCAGCTCAGGCTCAATTTAATGCCACCCATTGTCAAAGGATTTGGGATCTATTTCTAAGTTGGCAGCTTTAGCTACTGATCATATAATATATCTGCACTATGACTTCACTGTGAATTGCAGCATTTTTTAAGGATTTTCCTCATTGAGGCCAATGCAGATAGGCTATTTAGTTCAGTAAAAATACATTTTGGATGAACACTATTGGCTAGTATATCTAATAAATACTTTTATGCAAAGATGAATTTCAAAGTAAGTTTAAGGTAAACAAAAAAAAGGACATGGAATCTCCAAAGAAGGCACAACAGTACAGTGGCCTCACAGTCCTTGTGAACTGGCACAGGATAAGCCCCCTGTCAATGGTGTTCTTGGCAGAGGGGCAGTCTGGCCTATAATTGGATAGATCAGTGCTACATGATATGCATGTGCAATGCTGTTTACGCATTAATTGCACCCAAATGTAATTTACCTTCTGTTTGTTTCTTTGCATCAGAATATTCTTATCCTCTATAACTATAGGATAAGAATGCAGTTTGTTCAAATCATGTTCAATGCCAATTTTCCTTCTTGTTTTTTTGTTTTACGTCTTTTTTAGAAAGTCATTTAATATTTGTAAACTTTTCCTTGTGTTGCTGGCGCTTGAATAAAAACCTATATGCTTTTCTTCAGACACAAAATTAACAATTTCTTCCTGAGCTCCTACCAACGTATATGGCTGGAAAAAGTACATGAGAACTCAGACTATGACAGTCTAATACTCGTGTTAACGGTAATGTAACTTGTGGCTACGCCTGTCCTTGTGCACACAAGTACTCCACCCCAGCCATGATGTGATGTTTTCATTGGCTTGTGCAATTTTGCCAAGATATTCTGATTGGTCAGTTTTCTAGATTTATTATAGACAGGTTCCAAATACCTGCTCCATTAGCTGAAAACTGAGTTTCTAAAGGTTATTACGAGTGTGATTTCTATATACAACTGCAACATGCTGTTGCTATTGTTGCAGGTGTTTATGCACCATTATATTTTTTTCATAAATACCATAGATTTAGCTCTGCTAAAAGCAAGAATGAGACATAGAGCACTTAGACATATATAGCCCACTGATAAAACATAAACCACTAGTAGGGCTTTTTAATCTGAAAGACGTGCTGACCAATCAGGAGCTCCTAAATTGTACAAGATTCCAAACCCTACTAATCATGAGTCACCTGAACATTTTTTTATGTTCTTTTGTACCCCTCTTGATCCCACTTTCACCCCCTGCCAGGCACCGTTGTATTAACCTCTTCCTCCATGGTTATCAGAGATTTTGGATAGAAACAGAGGAAAATTCCTTTGAGGAGGCACTAATTCAAGATTTGGCTGTAAGTACGGGATTAGCTGAAGTTTGGCTCAGAGCACAAATAATTAATTAGTACATATGCATTGCTTCTAATAAGTGACTTCTTAAAATGAAGTGTGCTTCATTCACAGCTTTTAAACACAACCCAACATGCACCTAATCAAACATTGTTCACTTTTCTTCTGGTTAGGTTCCCCACCGATGACTAATAGGTATAATTAGTATAGTTAACCTTGGCTCCTCAGGTGAAGAGTCTCCAAATCAACACCGTGTAACAATTTTACTGAGGTTCCTCAGTAAGAGTTATTAATTTCATTTGCTTTAAACTTCTAAAGTACTAATTAGATTACTTATAAATAATGATTTTCATTACTTTGGTGTTCAGAACTATTGGCAGAGCTTTGCGATTTATCTTCAAATAAATGTTTAATATGTTAACATTTTGAATGTTTAGATGGCTCTTGCAGTGTCATTTAAAGAGCTGTACTGTTACTAGATCAGCTTAAATTTTCATATATACATATTGTATGTTCTTAGGAAATAATTTTGTTATAAAATTCTATCTAACAAACATGTGTCTCCAGGGCTATGAACAAAGGCATTAGCCTTGTTCATATACCAGCACACAAAATGTCTACTTTACAGGGCAAAGGACAGGCAACAAGTTTCGGGGACCACACATGTCATGATCGCGGCGTCAGACCCCAGACCTTCTCACCAAACTCATGACCGAAGGACTAGCCAATCTAAAACCGCTATGTGACGTGCGTAACAATACCACGCCCAGCTGCACCCTGCACAAAGATTTTCCAGCTAATGGACTACAATCTATGTACCTGCAACCTGAGCGATTGTTACTGGGTTGGGTTAATTATGCAACTAACCCTCCACACTGCCACCGCCTCCTTTTTGTACAGAGAAAGAGGAAACTCGCATTATCAGTTATAACACTATAATGATTGCAATAATTGTCTGTATAAAATGGTCTGCAGGCCAGTTATATAGAGGTTTAAACAAACAGTAGCGTCTCTTCAAAGGCAGAGATTCGTAAATTGCAATTAAGAACTATAGAAACCGTTCAACACTTTCAGAAAGAGAGATTTATTACTAAAAGGGTCAAACAGTTGCAATAAAATATTTACAGAGAAGATGTAACTAAGATATATATATATATAATATACAGAGAACCATAGCACAGTAAAGAGATATCAGGGAGAGGTGAAAGGGTTAAAGTACTTGCCAAAATCCTGGGTTTAGCAGATCCAAGTCAGAGCAGGAGGGTGCTTTGATCTCCCTATGTTACGATGGAAAAATGGGAGAATTCTTAAACTCAACCCCCTTAGGCTTGACAGCCTGCTTTAAAGTTTCCCAGCAGGGGGTGGTTCTGAAGTAAAAAGACCAATCCCCTGTTGAGGGAGGGATCGTCAGGCGGAACCCTAAACTGGAGCCAACATCTTTCATAATTCATATTCTGGTCCATAACTTTCCAGCTGCACAAGTGACATTTCACCCGCGGGTATATTATTATGCAGACAAGTCTGAGGATTATCTAGATATGAATTATGTTGCACGGTTCACAAGTTCTATGTTTCGGCTCCCCTGAGATAATTCGAATGACCCATCAAACTGTTCGCCTGCTCCTAGCCAATCTGACGGGATGTCTGGTTTTTATGTAAGTCCCTCATATTCCAAGATATGAAACATAGGGGAAAAATTGATCTTTTAAAAATGTTATCTGGTGTGGGCTTCTTGGGAATGCCTTGAACTCTGGGGAAGGCTCCATTATCTTTTTACGAGGCGTGAAATTACACAGGTTCTCAGGACAGTGGGACTCCAGCTCTCCTGAGGGGGGTTTTGTAGCTCTGGGCTCCCTGCTGCTGTAGCCTGCCAGTGACCCACAGCCAGGTGTCACGGTGGATGAACAGAGAGGAAGGGGGAGGATGAAGGAAAAAGATATTTCAGGACGGTTAATCTCTTCACCAAGATGGAGGTTGAAGCCAAAATGGTTGAACCGCGTCAATCTCTGATGCGCGTGTTTGCGACAACACAGTTCCCCCATCAGGGCTGGAGGAAGGGGGATTGTGTGGCCCCCAAATTGCATTGGCTGTCCTTTGCCCTGATTGTTGTAACCAGTTGAACATTAAAGGCTTTGGATGCCTAAGGATTTTTGGATTTCTACACTCGGGTTAATGTCTTCTCTCGTGGGATCCCCATCTTTCTAGTGAGTTGCTGA